CTCATAATTTATTTAAAATAAATATAATGAAAACATTAGGTATTAAATATAAGTAACATGTTTATACAAATAACTGCATTTTCTAAAACAAAAACCTTTAAGTAGACTGGCATTGTTTTACATTTTTGAGAAACTCTTTAATGTCTGGCTAAACAGAAGACAGGTAGAATTTTCTATCTCCTTTTTATATTCAATCTGATGAGATATACACATTACGTAGCCTCCAGAAAACTCCACTGTACGCTCTCCAGAGAATGAGAAGGGAGAATAGTGCCTTAATATTACTATGAAGACGGTTCACAGACCCCGTAAAAAAATCTTGGAGGTTTCCCAGGTCTCCAGGCCTTACTTTGAGAACTTCTGCTATAAGTCAATCCAATTATGAGTGTTGATGCAGAAACCAAAATGAGATATTAGTAAACAGAACCTAGCAGTACATTTAAAGATGACTGCACCATGTTCAAGTGGGATTCATTTTGGAACTGTAGGAATGTTAGGAAATAAATTTGTATGGATTTAACATATTAATAAGTCAAAGGAGAAAAATTATTTAATCATTTCAGTAGGTGCCAGAAAGTACTTAACAAAATTCAATATTAGTTTCAGATTTGAAAAATCCTAGGGAATTATGAAAAAATAAATATATCTCTATCCAACAGTCAGCATCATGCTTAATTAGAATATGCTAGAAGCCCAGTGTGATAGAGCAGAACTTTCCTGACCACCGAGGAAATTCATGGGTTGCCCAGCATGGTGATAAATGGGGGAGTGAGTGGTAACTCACTGCAGACCCTGATGGATATCAGAGGTGGTAGCTGAAGGATTAAAGATCGACCAGCTCAAACCATCAGCCCCTACGAGTCCATTCCCCAGGTGTACTTACTCACTAGTGAAGCCATGGGCAGCCTGACTACCCAGGTCTTCGGGATAACTGTCCCTCCACAGAGATGCTCAGTGGCAGTCTGCAGGCTGACCTGCCATAGCCAGGAGCTGGGTGCAGCCTCCTTGCCTCCCACAATCCAGAAAGAAACCAGGAATGGGGCTGGGGAGAAGGGCAGGAGGGAGTGGCTCCGCAGAGGCCACCCGGGAAGGGGCCAAGGAGACATATCTTGATGACCTATGGATCCTCCTCATCCAAGCCCAGATAGCAATCTCTAAGTATCTCCCTTGTGCAGGGCACTCTAATAGAACCTGGGAATCATGAGAAATGCTTGCATTCCAGAGAGAAAAATTTATACGTTATTGGAATTTGATGTCTCACCCAGGAATAAAATATCAAGCTCACCTTTGACTTCCCTTTCTTTTTTGTTCCAACTATCCTGTCTCTGAACACTTTATATCCAATACCCACAATATGTCCTGCATCCATTTTCTACCTCAATAGAAAGTATTCTATTATACTATAAGGTAACATGGAGGGTTCGGGTCCTCCATGTTGCTCACCTGAACTACTTTCCCTGCAGTTAATCTTTGCCTATCCTCTTCACACTCTCAACCCCTCAAAGTGCTGCTTCAACCACATCACTGCCTTGATCAAAACCATCCAAGGGGGCTGGGTGCAGTGGCTCACACCTGTAATCCCAGCACTTTGAGAAGCTGAGACAAGAGTGTCGCTTGAGGCCAAGAATTTGAGACCAGTCTGGGCAACATAGCAAGACCCCATCTCTACAAAAAAGAAAAGAAAAAAAAAATTAGCCAGGTCTGGTAGTGTGTGCCTGTAGTCCTAGCTACTCGAGAGGCTGAGTGAGGTAGGAAGATTGCTTGAGCCCAGAAGTTGGAGGTTACAGAGATGTGATTGTGCCACTGCACTCCAACCTGGGTGACAGAGCGAGACTCTGTCTCAAAACAAACAAACAAAAACCAACAATAACCATCCAAGGGCACCACATAGTGTATAGAATAATGTTGACACCCCACTTATCCCTGTGGGCCCAAATCAAATGCCAGTTTCTTGATTATTCCATCCCAGACATTATTTCAGTTCTCTTTTTAATTATGGTTTTCTGTGAACTTTTTTCTTTTTTTGTGAATTTCATTAAAGTATAACATAAATACAGAAAAGCATGAGTAATAATTACTTAGCCCAAGGAATTCTCAAAAAGCATAACTAGAACCCACATCGGAAACAGAATAACTAACAGAATTGCAGAAGAACCACCATGAACACTTCCAGTCACTATTCTCTCAAAGGTAACTGCTATGCTGACTTCTAACACCACATATGTATTAGTTTGAAATAATTTTAGTTTTATATAAATGTAAATTATAGAATACCTACTCTTTATTTGTATACTTCCAATTTTCAGCATTAGAATATAAGTTCTTTGAAGATAGGTACTATCATGTTCATTTTTGTACCCAACTGCGCTATGCTCTGGCATAGAGATTCACACAGAGAAGACACCAAATGCTTTCTAAGCCAACCTGGCAGGATGTCAACAATCGAATGCACATGGGGACACACAGGTGTTTATTATATTATTCTTTCACTTGTTCTGTAGACTTGCAAAATTTCAAAATAAAAAGTGAGGGACAAACTGCTTATTGAATTAGCTAAGTATCCAAGTAGGTGTTAGGACACATGTAAACTCTTTTTCTTATCCTTCTTGAGTTTTAATATATTTGTATAAAGAATGAAGGTCCTAAATTAGAAATGAGTTCAGTGAGAAAAAAATCAGGAAAGACTCTCTCACTGAAGTTTTACCTCAGAAGCTATTTATGGATTATTTACTTTTATTCACCATTTATTTATTTGGCACCTACTGTATTCTGGGAATTGCAGTAGGTGATGAGGATAAAAGAATGAATACGTCTTGCTGAGTGTTATAATGAGACTCCTTGGAAAATGTTGTGCTTGGTTTAGGCTGATAAAAATGGCTTTGCTGAATGTGGCCCCTGGTAGCCAAGAGAAGGAACCATTGCAGCCACACTTTACTGCGATTTTTCTACCTGGGGTATCTGTGCATCATGCGGTCATTGTCAAAGAAGCCAGAACAAAAAGACTCAGACTGCTTCCATCCCTTCTTATTAAAAGGAATATTCATTCTCCACATTCTTTTATTCTGTGTTCTATGTGTCAGATGATTTGTAAAAATAAAAATAAAAAATGAAGTGTTTGACTTTTCTCTTGACAAACCATCAAAATGGCATCTACAGAAGTTTCCCAACCTCATCGTCCACCTGCTCCCCTCACCACTGTCTTTTCCATATGGAACAGGATGTAGTATGTATATACCAACGGATGTCATGGAAAAAGTAATGGAAAGGGAAAACCCTGCCCTTCTCAATGCTCACTGGTATTAAAACATGGTGATATACTTAATATTTTTCAGCAGAGGGATCTTTTGAGTCAAACCACAATTTGGCACAAAATTTAGCCATTTCCAGTAAATAAATCACTTGAGTTGGGAATTTTGATTCTGGTGATTGGGAATATTCCAGTCTTGTTTTGAGCAAAAGGGACAATGACCACCTCCCATACAGCTCTATGTGATGGCTTTTTTGCCATGTCAGCTTGGCTAGGCTACAGCCCATGGTAGGTCATTCAATCAAACGCTAATTAGGGTTTGCAGTGAAGGAATTTTGCAGGTATAATTAAAGTCTCTAATCTGTTGACTTTCGGCAACTATTATACAGCAAGGAAGATCATTGTGGGTAATCTGGGTGGGCCTGACTTGAATAATTGGAATGCTTTAAATTCAGAGCTGAGGCTTCCCTAAAAGAGGAAAGAAATTCTGCTTGTGAAGAACAACTTCCGCCCCTGCCTGTGGAATTCCAGTGTTCCCGTGATTTTCCCTTTCTGCCTGCCTGCCCCATGGGTTTATGTGTGTAGTCAGCCCCACAACTGTGTAAGCAATTCTGGTGTATCAGTTTGCTAGGGCTGCTGTAACAAAGTAGCACAGACCGGGTGGCTTAGAAGAACAGAAATTTATTGTCATGCAGCTTTGGAGACTAGAAGCCCAAGATCAAGGTGTCGGCAGGGTTGTTTCTTTCTGAGCGCTACGGTGAGGAATCTGTCTCATGTTTCTCCCCTGGATTCTGGCGGCACTGGTGGTTGTTGATGTTCCTTGGCTTGCAGATGATGCATCACCCCGATCTTGACCTTCATCTTTACACGACGTTCTCCGTGTATGTGTGTGTGTGTGTGTGTGTGTGTGTCTCCCTGTACCCAACTTTCCCCTTTTTAGAAGGACACCAGTCATATGGGATCAGTGCCCAGCCTAATGACCTCATTTCAACTTGATTATCTCTATAAATATTCTATCTCCAAATAAGGTCACATTCTGGGGTACTGGAGGTTAGGACTCCAATATATTTTGGTGGAAGACATAATTCAACCCATAACACCTGCTTCTCTGGTTGAACCCAGGGTGATATACTCTGTGTGTATCATTTGGTCACATTCTCCAAAACAGCTTACCAGAAGCATTGATTTCTCCACTAGGCACATTCCATGTCTCCAGAAACACTGATTCATCCTCTAAGTCGGTGGAGATGTTTAAATCTGGGCATAAGCATAATACAATTGCTCAGCTCACACAGAGAAGGCCAGGGTTGGGGATTTATTAGAAATTAATTTATGGAGATATTTTAGAATTCTGGGGCACCTCAGCCAGCTCGATTCTGGGTATTTTAATAGCTGCTTAATGCCTAAACAAGAATGAACAACTTGGGAAGCAGATAACCTGCTTCGTGGGGTTTGGATGAAGGGATCGTGGGTGTGACAACATGGAAGGAAGCTGGTTAGGTGTTTCAAGTGTCCACAGTCTGGGATTGGTGACGATATTTCAAATTTCTGCTCCATATTGCAAATTTACTTGTGGCCAAGTGGATCTTATCTGACTTAACCCTCACCACATTCTTATTAGGCATGCATTATTCTCCTATTGTAGGATTGAAAAAAATGAGTCTTAGATGACTCTTTCTTAAAATCACACATCTAGTAAGGCTAGACCAGGATTCAGACATATAGTCAATCTTCATTCGTTGTGGATTCCTTACATGTGAGTTCACCTACTCACTAAAATTTATTTGTAACCCCAAATGGGATACTCACGGTGCTTCCACGATCATTCACAGACATGCTCAGAGTGACAAAAGATTTGAATTGCTGGACATGCATGTTCCCAGCTGAGGTGAGACAACGTTTTGCTTTCTCGTTTCAGCTCTCATACTATAAACAAGTGTCCTTTTCATGGTCTATTTAGTGCCACTTTTTTTTTTTTTTTTTGCGTTTTTGTGATTTTTGTTGGTGACCTCGCTGTCCAAAATGGCTCTCAGGCATAGTGCTGAAGCGCCCTCTAGTGTTCCCAAGTGCAAGAGGCTGTGAAGTGCCTTACATAGAAAATGCGTGTTGGATAAGCTTCATTGAGACGTGAGTTGTAGTGCTGTTCATCATGAATCTAATGTTAACGAATCACCAACGTATATTAAATGAGGTGTCCTCAAATGGAAGCACACACAAAACATGGTTGTGTATTGGCTGGTTGATGAAAATGTACGAGAGGTTTGCAGGAACCTAACTCTGCATATTTCCTAGGAGCGATGGGTCTGTATTCTCTTACTCAGTGTTTGTGGTGACGTCATAGGACATAATTACTGTAAATAATGAGACTTGACTGCATTCATGTTTAAAGGCTTCCCCTTATTACCATGCTGCGAAGATTAGAATTGGAAACCACAGAGCTGGCTCCTCTGTTTTCTCACCTGCTTTGGGAATGAAGGTGACTGCAGCCCGAAAGCCACTGCAGGTCCCATTTTCATCCGATTGGAAGCTAATGAGCATGACACTGGAGGGGCTGAGCACAGGGCTGGGTACCATATAGCCGCACAGCCGAGCTGGTTGAAGGCCAACCCAGGCAAGATGTCATCGAGGACCCGGCAAATAGACGTGATATTGGAAAAAAGAAAAAAAAATTGTCCTTTAGGTAGTTGTTGAGAAATAAGCTTTTCTGATGAATGTTACAATTCATTTTCAAAATAGAAAGGCAGTTTGCTTTGTTTAAATATGTAATTAACCCCAACAAAATTCCAGTTCTGTTTCGTCTCCCAAACTGTCCTCCTGGAAATGCTGCTGAGGGAACTGGGTCTAGCCACAGGCCCTATTTCACTGGAACTTTCCCCTTCTGACTCCCAGTTCACTGTGGGACTTCCACATTTTCTGTTCCAATGGTTCTTTGATTTTCCCTCTCTCTCTTCCTGCCCCGATATAGAGGAAGGAGCGGTGCTGAGACCATAGGGAGGGATGGAGCTGCAGGGGAATGAAGGGAGATTGAGTCGCATCATTTTTAGCCCCATCGCAAGCCCGGGACCACATCCAAACCAGAGGAAGCAGCGGCTCCAGGGGATCACAGACCTATTTCCTTCTTCCTTTCTACATCGCCGTGCACTGTCACGTAGTCAGAAGTGCAGTCTCCGCTTTCTTCTATTTCCAGACTCTGAAACGACAGCTGAGAAGACTCGAAGTTACATCCAGAGCAAACACTATGAATGAATTACATGATTTTGATAGGGCAGAGAAATTTGGGTTGCTCCACTTGCTCTGGAGTAAGACCTCAGAGGAGAAAGTTAGTAGGTATTCAGGAGTAGGTTAAAATACTTAGGGAAAAAAATACTGCATCACAGGCTGTCAAACTTTCTGAAACATCTAAGCTACCAAATACGGGCTGAGTGAAAGGGCGGGAAAACGTGTAGATACTTGAGCTCCCCAGCAGCTCTAGGAGACCAGAAAAGCCACCCATGGAGATTTTCTTTTTTCCATTGGAAGCAACTAGGCTTTGGGTTATGCCATCCTGGACACACCAGGTACGTGGACACACAACTGCTTCTCTGGACATCTTAGTGCTGTGTACCTTGTTCCTGATATTTCATCTTGAACCTCCAGTTCTCCTGAATCAAGACTGAAGTTGGTACTGTCCCTTGGAAACTGTGTCTTTCTACCTGGCAGGATATATCTGGCTCCCACTCCCAGGACTTACTTTGAGAACCTCTGCTATAAGTCAATTCAATTACGAGCATTGATGCAGAAACCAAAGTGAAATATTAGTAAACAGAAGCCAGCAGTACATTGAAAGATGACTGCACCATGTCCAAGTGGGATTTATTTCAGTAGTGTAGGAATATTAGGAAATTGATTTTGTATGGATTTAACATATTAATCAGCCAAAGGAGAAAAATCATTTAATCACTTCAACAAATGCCAGAAAGTACTTCACAAAACTCAATATTAATTTCTGATTTGAAAAATCCTAGGGAGATGTGGTAAAATAAATATATCTGTATCTAACAGTCAGCATCATGCTTAATTAGAATATGCTAGAAGCCCAGTGTGATGGAGCGGAACTTTCCTGACCACTGAGGAAATTCATGGGTTGCCCAGCATGGTGATAAATGGGGGAGTGAGTGGTAACTCACTGCAGACCCTGATCGATATCAGAGGTGGTAGCTGAAGGATTAAATATCGACCAGCTCAAATCATCAGCCCCTACGAGTCCATTCCCTAGGTGTACTTACTCACTGGTGAAGCCATGGGCAGCCTGACTACCCAGGTCTTCAGGATAACTGTCCCTCCACAGAGATGCTCAGAGGCAGTCTGCAGGCTGACCTGCCATGGCCAGGAGCTGGGTGTGGCCTCTTTGCCTCCCACAATCCAGAAAGAAACCAGGAAGGGGGTCGGGGAGAAGGGGAGGAAGGAGTCGCTCTGCAGAGGCCGCCCAGGAAGGAGACACATCTTTATGACCTATGGATCCTCCTCACCATCAAGCCCAGATAGCAATCTCTAAGTATCTCCATTATGCAGGACACTCTAACAGAACCTGGGAATCATGAGAAATGCTTGCATTCCAGAGAGAAAAATTTATACATTACTGGAATTGGATGTGTCACCCAGGAGTAAAATATCAAGCTCACCTTTGACTTCCCTCTCTTTTTTGTTCCAACTATCCTGTCTCCAAACACTTTTGAATGCAGGGATGGGGAGAGGAGGACATGTGTCAGAAACAGGGTTCATTCAAACATTTATTAAATACTTACTGGATATTTTCTGGGAATGGGCCCTTTTCTCTCCAAGTCAAATGATATACACTTTGTTATGATTTGTAATCCCAATTTCCAAATTAACCCCTCGGATGGGTCCTGAAAAGTGAAGCTGTCCCTGGCAGGGTATAAGAGCATCTTTCACTGATGCACAGCACTCAGGGTACATTTACTGAATAGATGTCTTTGAATCACTTTTCGTTTATTTTCAGATTTTCAAGTACATTTTCTCTTCATCCTCTTCCTAGACATATGCTCATAACCTAAATTCTTATCCTTCGTCACTAACAACAAATCTTCCCTTAATTATGCTGAAATTTCCATCTCAACTCTGGGTTTGAGAAACTTTCAGAAAGAGAAGAGCTACACTTCCCTCCTCTGTATCTTCCTCTCCCATTCATTCATAAAACAGGCATGATCTTGTTTCTGCTCCTAACATGTGACTTAATGTGATATTTCAGACACCATCAAGCCCAACTCCTCTCAATTGTTCAATTTTCAATCCCATTATTCTGACTTTTTCTTGAGGGGTGGAGTGGGCTAGACAATTAATCCTCAATTCTCAACTCTTTATATTCTCACTTTGTGTGTAAATCCAAATTATTGGCCACATCTCTCTTTGCTTTGTTTTGTGTTTTGAATTAAAGGCTCCATTCTCTGAACTGTAAGAGATTGTACCAATTTGGTCCTCCTACATCTCAGAGCTCTTTCCACCTCTTAAATATATGATAACTCTGTGGTCCCACCTGTCCTTCCTCCTCCCTCCTTTATTTTCTACTCTACTTTCTCTCCTTCGTATACTGTCTTGCTATCAATTAGTATTTTAAGAGAAAGACCTATAAATAAATACCTAGTTCCAATCCCACCCTGCCTGCAGTCTTACCTTCATCTACCTACTGATGTCTCTCTGCACGTGGGCCCCTAGTGTTTAATGGACAAACAAACAAACAGCCACAAACACCACTAATTGAATGTGTAAAAACTCTGTATCTGAGTATTCAAAGGCCTCCGTACTTTGACCTCAGCCTCACCTTCCACTCTCCCCTCCTAGCACACCTCGGGACTCCCTTAACCAGCAAGTACTGATTGCTCTCGGCTTGCTCTTGTCCCCTCTGCTTGGAAGGCTTAATGATTTTGGCCAGATTGTCATTGTCTTTTGCTATCCATTACTTACAACACGTTTTGTTAGCAGTTTAATTAATAAGGAAGAAATGCTTGTTTCTAGAAGGGACTAGTAAAATCACCAATACAAAGATTAAAGCAGCCTCGTTTTTTAAAAACAAAAACGGAAGAGCACATGGTGCCACCTAGTGGTAAAAGTGGGTAGTTGCAGGGGAAACTAGGCTGGTCCATCCTTAAGTATTTATTGAGAGCCTGGTGTGTCAGGTGCTGGGTACGAGATACTGAAAATACAGCAGTGAATAAACCAGATAAAAACCTCTGACCTCACGGTGCTCATGTGAGCTGTTTTGTGCATTTATCGTAGCTAAATAAGGATAACCAAAGTCAATACCTCGATTAGGTGATGTTTGGGGGCTTGAAAAATCCAGTTACAGTTGGCCATGTCACTGTAGTTTCCAGGATAGTTAGGACTCTGTATGAAGCCTTCTTCAAAAAGGACAGTTATGACACTGCAACCTGAATCTGAAACACAAGGAAAAAGTCCAAACAAATGGTGCTACACAAATAAAGAGGAATTCTCATCATTTTCCCTCCTGTCTCCCGAAAAGGATGCATGAAGTGAATTTTCAGACAGAGCAAATAAGAAGGAAGAGGTTTGTGCACTGATTTCCCAGAACTCTTCAGGCCCTCTCAACTCACTTGGGTGGGCAGCCAAGGTGTGTAGCCGAGCTAACTCAGGGTTCAGAGGAGACTGCACCCTGTTCCTTAGCTAGCCCGTACCCCTTACTATGGAGCCAGTGGGCCTTGGGAGAGGGCTCCCTGCCCCTCACCTGATTCCTATGGGGCCTGATCAGCTACAGAAGGCTGCGATAGTGTGTGATAAAAGTAAATGGTCTTACCAGGAAAGTAGTTTGGCTTAAGAGCTTTATAGGTGAGATTAAACCCAGTAGCATAATCTGTGGCATCAGAGATGAACTTCAGCCTTACAGAATTGGAGCCAACAAGAACGGATGAAGGGAGGCTTTCTCCACAAAATTTTCCTGCAATGCGAGAAAGAAGATTCTTTGTTCAGAATCCAGAAAACAGTACTCATTCAATGCCTGAAGAGAACTGAACTTGCCACGATACCTCGGGATTGTCTAAATCAGGGTTTCTCAACCTTGGTACTATCGGCGTTTTGAACCAGAACATTCTTTGTGTTCATGCTGTCCTGTGTCTTTTGTGGGATATTTAACAGCATCCCTGGCCCCTACCAGTAACACTCCCTCTAGTTGTGACAACCAAAAATGCCTCTAAGACATTGCCCCATGTCTCCTGGGGCACACAAGCACTTCTGGCTGAGAACCACAGACGTTTCTGTTTCTTATATACGTACCCTTTGCTTCCTTATGCTTATCTATTGGTATTTTTCTTTGTAGCTGGATGAGGCAGGTAAAGGCCATTTTCACAGTTAGGAAAGCCGTATCCTGCCTGGAGGGGGCCCTGAGAGGCCTTGCAATACGTCTAGACTTTACTGCTGATGGGCTCCAGGTCTGGTGATGGCGCTAGGAAGCCTGGTTTGATGGGAAGCAGATGCAGCAGGTGAAATGCATCACGCCCTCCGGCCATCACACAGGCTCAGATTCGATTCCTCCCCGCGCCCAATTCTGAGTCTCAAAACTGGTGATAGGAAGTGTGTCATTTAGAGATGGCTCAGTGCCAGACATAGCGTAACCGGGTCTCATTAAGCCCGCTTAGCACTGGTTTCCATCTGACAGTGTGAAAATCCACTCACCGATGAGTCTGTCTTCTAAAGAATATATTGATAGGTGATTGTGGTGACAAGACTCGACATCCAAGCGAGAAAAACTGAGCAATACATGCATTTCCTCTGGTACTGACAGGGTCCAGACACACAGTCTGCAGACAGATCATGGAGAGGGTGTTATTTCTAGACAGAAAATGACTGTCACAGTCCAATGAGCGGGCACAGCCAGACCAGAGGTGGGAGTCGGGGAGGGCAGCAGCGGGGCTACTCACTGCTTGTTCTCGTAATATAGCTGGAGGCTTTCTGGAAAGTGCAGCTGCCCCTCAGACTCACTGATTACGCCATCCTGCTCGCTGCACCAGGCTAGGAGGGAAAGCCAGGAGAACCGAGGTGAGCAGTGATGGCCAGCCACATAGCGCCCCCTTCCAGAGGCTGCACAGACGTAGCAGCCTCCTGGTTCTTCTTGATGTACTCTTCCATTCTTTATGAAATCTTTCCTCTCTTGGCTTCTACAATGCCTTATGCTTTTTTATTCTTCGTAGATCCTGCTTAACCTTAAGATTCTGTGATTTTCTTTTTCTCCTTAACTCTTCTTTCTCTGATCCAACACTTCATTCTATAGGTATGTGTATATATTTCCCAGGTTCTTTCTTTGTTCCTCATCTTCTCTGTCTCCATGAGCTCTCGGAACAGTCTCATTCATACCTTCAGTTTCAAATATCATCTCTACATTTCTGAATTTCAGACATGATTTTACAATGATCTCCTAGCTATCTCCCGGCAAATTCGACATGTTACAAATAGAATTCCTCTGGGTCAGCAAAACTGCATCCGCTTCTGATTTTATTACTTTTCTGTGCCCTTTTCTTACCTCTCATGCTCAAAACTTTGGTACTATCTTTGATTCCTCCCTTTCCCTTACCACCCTTCATCTAACTGGCTACCAAGTCATAATTTTTCTTGTTTCTAGTTACTCTTTTTCATTTTCTGGCTATTGCCTTGATTCAAGCCTGCATTTCTTATCTCTTGAACTAATGCAGATCTCATGAGTTCACTTTGAATCATTCTCCCCACAACCCATCCCCTTCACACTGTTCTTATACTATTAAAGTATATCTCAAGTCTATTTATCTAATAAATAAACTTGCTATTGCTCAATAAAGCCCAGATTTTTTTGACTGACATTTAAAGTTTTCGTAGTTTGATTTCAAGTTATCTTACTATTCTTCTCTTTCATAAAATGCCATCACACATCCTAGGCTGCTTTGGCTGACTTACTGGTCTCTGTTCCACCTGACATTTTCCTATCTCCATCTCCTTTAATATCCATCCTTTGATAAGGATGATTCCTTGAGCTGGAATACTTTTCTTTACCCATATTGCATTTCCACCTGACAAAAGCTCTACTCTTCCTTCAAGGTTCAGCTTTAAAAATGCCTGTGCTCCTATTGGATGTTGGGCAGGGGGGAGGGGGGAGGAGAGAGGAGGGGACGGGTATTTGTATACACAAGGAGTGCAATGCGCACCACCCGAAGGATGGACATATTTGAAACACGGACTTGGGGGGGGGACCAAGGGCAACATACGTAACCTAAACATCTGTACCCCCATAATATGCTGAAATAAAAGAAAAAGAAAAAAGAAAAGCAGAGATCACAATAAAAAAGAAAAAAAAGAAATATATGCTAATCACTGAAAAAATATATAGTAAGACATTTTATGTATCTAAAGATGTAACATAGAACTGTATAATATAAAGAGTTAGAAATAAAAATAAATTGAGAAATACACAATCTTAAGAAGAGATTTAAAAAAAAAAATGCCTGTGCTCCAAAGCCTCCCCTGTTCATTTGTCTGTTTTCAGCTGGAAGCAGCCTCCCACTCCTCTGAGCTGTCAGGGTATTATTTTCCATATTGCTCTTTGTAGATAGTTCCACAGGCTCAAAGAACCACAAAAGGTTTGAGCCAAAGACATCTTAGAGACCATCTGGCCCAAACTCTTTTCTTTATGGATGAAGAAACTGAGGGCCAGAGATAGGAAAGAGCTTGCCCACAGTCACAGAGTGAATTTGTTGCACGATTGCAATGTAACGCAGGGGATAAGACCCTTATATAAGTAGAAACGCTTTCCAGGGAAGGTGTGTAGCTTATTGACCACATCTGCACTGCCTCACCCTCCTTCCTGGAGTCTCTGCTTCACAGCTAGTGTTTGGCAACTGTTGACTGAATCGAGATGGAGCTCTGGATTGACAAGAAGTGAAATGGGAGGGAATCCGGGGCTCATACTGGGCATGGGATTGCCCAGACGGGCAGGGGGTGGCTGTGGTGCTCTAGGTCGTAGTTTTACACCTACTGAGCATGGAGGACTCTTGAAGAGGAAGACTTTCGATTACAAAGGGAACTGATATTCAGAAATGCCAGATGTTAATCCATGCTCCTGTGGAGCAGGCTGCAAGGAATACCCACCTCTAGAGCTCTTTCTCCGATGCCCTGGGAAAGAAAAAGAAAGATGCGATTCAAAGCTCGTGGTATCCTGAACCACAGGATTACTTTGGTGCTATCTTTGATTCCTCCCTTCCCTCAACACCCTTCACCTAACTGGCTGCCAAGTCCTAATTGTTCTTGTTTCTGTTCCCTGCTTTTCATTCTCTGGCCATTGCCTTAGCAAAAAAAATATTCTTATTATTTGAAGAAATTAGCATCTTCTTGTCTCAAAAGTACAGAGATTTTTAAAGTCAATATGCAACTAATGAAAATCTAATGTATGGAAAGAACAGAAGAGATAAACTGACAAAGCAGGAAAGGGACCCTGGTGTCTGAAGGAGATGATTTCACTCTCTTTAGTGAGTGGGCCAATTAAGACATAGTGATTCACTTGGAGGTCACGTAGAGCAAGAAGACATCACCTTACATGAGAACAGAGGCTAGAGATGTAAATAACTGTCTCACAACTCCCAAAGAGTTGCTGGGATGGCCACAACTTGAACTGAGGGCTCAGATATCTACCACTGTTCCATATACTTGGAAAACAAACTCGGGTTCTTACTAAACTAATTTGAATTAACCCCTTTGGGAAAGGATAAAAAGCCCTTTTGAGGGTGGGAACCCTCAATTAAGGAAACAGTTAAGTTGGGTTTACAAGTAGAAATGAAATTGCAATTAACTCACTGGTCAGTCTAGCAGAAGGGTATACAGTCAGCCCTCAGCATCTGAGGGAGACTGTCTCTAGGACCACTGTGGACACCTGAATCTGAGGATGCTCAAATCCCTATATAAAATCACGTGGTGTTTGCATATAACCTCCGCACATCCTCCCCCACACACTTCTTTAAATCATCCCTAGATTACTTATGATACCTAACACAATGTAAATGCTATGTAAATAGTTGTTATACTATAGTTTTAAAATTTGTATTATGTTTTATTGTTATTTTTTAATTTTTCCCCCTGAATATTTACAATCCATGGTTGATTGAACTACCGACGTAGAACCTGCAAATACGGAGGACAAACTGTACATAGACCCTGGCCTTTTCAGACTCTCTATGCCAGGTGCCTTTCTATACTTACACCAGGGCTTCTCAACCTTGGCATTATTAACATTTTGGGAGGGACCATTCTTTGTTGCAAGGGACTGTTCTGTGCGTTGTTCTTGGCCCCAATGCACTAGAAGCGAGTCCTCCCCCAATGGTTGTGACAGTTAAAAATGTCTTCTAATATTGCCTCCTAGGGACAAAATTGCCCCTGGTTGATAACTACTGATCTATGCCATAGCTTGCTGAATCTTGCTAGAACAGTTGAGAAAGTAGTGAAAACATATCATCAGCTGAGATAGTTTCAATTAAAAGCAAATTGGACAAAATCTAGGATGGATGGGTTCATTTTTTATTGAATATTTGCATGCTGTACCATATACCATATTTCACTGTTGGTTTAGACTTGGCAAATTTCACAATCCTTATGTGCTACACTGAGAGTAGAAGTACAGCTCATCTGTTCGTGGGTCCTGACTTGCCTAGACTCTGCTGATGCTCTCTCTGGCCCTAGCAGAATGGCAGCTTCTTAACCGTGCCTGATGGCTTCATTACCAGTTTGGATGTGTTCATGGATCCAGGGAAGCACTTTACTGATATCTGTGAAGATCCCAGGGGATCCTGGCTCACTTTGATGCATATTGTTTCTCCAGCTTCGACCGCAGCCCAAACCCCAGGAAGTCACACCAGCCAGAGTCCAGGCCCCCTTCTTATTCTGGCACATGAGTGAACCTCCTGAATCTCCCTGCAGGGGAAAAAGTCCTCTGTTACCATCATTGGCAATGCTATACCCAAAAGTGATCACTTTGTCCCCACAAGAATGCTAGATGAAGATCAATAGTTTTCTCACTTATTATAATTTAAACTCAGGGGCCTGGAAGAATAGCCAAGCACAATTCCCATATGATCCTCAAATATCACTGGAGCCCATCAAATCCACCTCCTTCTTTCCCATCCTAGGCTTTCCTCAAAGCAGCAGACTTTCTTCTTTCTTCTGTCTCATGCTGCAGACTCAGAGAAGTCTTGCCCAGCAATAAAACTGACCTCAGTTCTTGGTTAGCAGGAAGAATGGAGGAAAGTACAGTTCCCAACATCCAAAAACTGGAAACCTCTAAACAGGGAAGAGCCAGCCATTCTTCAGGAATGGGAGAACCCTGAGAGTTCATTCTTGGCATTATCTCTATTATT